CCCGCTGCTGGGCTCCGCCTGCCGCCTGGCCGAGCACTGCGTGTGCGGCCTGACCACCCGCGCCCTGGACCACGCCCTGCCGCTGCTCCACCAGCTGCAGCCCCAGCGTGAGTGCGCCCAGCGGGCGGGTCCTCCTCCATCTGCGGAGCTGGGGTGCCTGGGCCTGTCCCGCCCAGCCTGCTCCAGCCCTCTGCCCACACAGCCACCCCCACCTCCCTCTTAAATTTTCCTATGGGCGGGGACACTAGGGAGACCCGAGGGGGACTGGCCACCCTCATCCCTTCTCCTCAGTGTCCTCCGGGAATCCCGGACACACACGCACCAGGCGTGGATTCTAATCCACCAGGTCCAGGACTTGAACCCCCTAACCACCATGCCACCCACTGCCCCCTTTAAGTTTATTTATTCATTTTCTCTATAGAAGGGGTTCCCCACCCGTGACCTCCCATTCCCAGCCACCCTGGATCCTGGGCATGTGTGTGTGCCCTGGCGTGCTCGGAGGTCCTGGGACGAGAACCCAGACCCTCCCATGCGGTCTAGCTGTGTTATTGACACACCCCCACCCCCACCCCACCTCCTGCTTGTCCCATCTCTCTTTCCTCCACTCGCCTAGCCTGTGTCCTCACCTGTCCACCTGCCTGGTCACTTCCCTCTGTCCCCACTCAGCCTGTCCCCATCTCTGAGGCTCGATGACCAGCTCAGGGTCCAGCCTGGCGGGAGTGACAGTGACAGGCAGAGCCAGAGAGACCTTGGCCTCTCACTGCAAGGAGGGAGAGGAGAGGCCTCCTGAGGCTCCCAGCCCAGGCCCTGGCCCTGCTCCTCAGCGGGCTGTCACCGGAGCCTGCAGGCAGGGACACTGAGAAGTCGCCTAGGTGGTAGGGCCAGGCAGGGGGCAGGGGTAGGGGGCAGGGCCCAGCCCAGGGACCGACCACTCACTCCCCGAGGCCCCGAGGCCCTCCCAGGGAGCCACAGGCCTCCCCATCCCCTCGGCGAACCTCACTCCCAGGCTCTGGGTGTCAGTGCCGTCTGGGTCTGAGGTCGCAGGGGGCCTCCTGCCTCTGCAGCAGGCATCTCCGGCATCTGCTCCTGTCTCCCTCCTTGCCGGCTGGCCTCCCCTCTGTCTCTGCCTCTCCCTCTAGCACTCCCTCCCTCCTTGCCCCTCCACCTCCGGAGCCTCACGGCCGGCCTGTCCCCTCAGTGGCCACAGTGAACAACCTGGCCTGCAGGGGCCTGGACAAGCTGGAGGAGAAGCTGCCCTTTCTCCAGCAACCTTCGGACACGGTACCTGGGACACCAGACGGGCTGCAGGGGCGGGCTGGAGCGGGGCGGGGAGGG